TTTTTTTTTTTTGAGAACTATTGCAATTCATTCAGTGATCTGGTGTGAAGGTGATGAGTTTAGAATTAAGAGGTAAAAAAATGCACAGTGGCGTATTGCCTATGGTCTCAGCGTCTTAGCAAGCTGAGGTAGGAAGATCATGGCATGATAAAACTCTGTCTTCAAAATACACACACATACATACACAAAATTAAAGAAAAGAAAAAAAGAGGTGTTTCTTTCTTTTTTTTTGCTTTGGCAGGAGGTAAATTCTAGAAAGCATCCATAATTAAGCAGTTATCCGACCATGCAAAGGAATCAGTTTGTTCATGTGTGCATTCATTCACTCACATAATCAGTCAGTCAGTCATTTCACGCATCTATTACGTATCTACTGTCTGCCAGGCACTGAGTTAGACCCTGGAGATAAAATGGTGAATACAGATATGAGTCCCACTTTTCTATTCTAAAGGGAGAGATAAAATGAAAATATCAATAGAATGGCGAAACAAAAAATGACTGTCACTTGTAATGAAATGTCATGAGGGAGAGAAACAAGGGGCTGAGATGGAGATTGACAGAGGGGCAACTTTAGCTAGGGCATGCCTGGAAGACACCTCTGAGGGGCTGAGGGATTAGCCAAGCCTCCAAGGATAGAAAGACGTGAAACATTCAGAGGAATGAAGCCAGATCTAGGCCAGGAGAGCAGCATTGGCATAGCATGGTGGGACACACTTGAAGAACTGAAGAGCAGCATGGTTGGGCAGTGAGTGACAGGAAGAGGCACACAATACGCCCACTGAAATCCACAGGGACCAGGTTAGGCAGGACCTGCAGGTCCACTCCAGGTGTAGGTATGGGGCATGGAATTTATTCTAAGTAAACAGGAACATATGGAAGGGTTTTCAGTGGAAGTGTGATGTGATCTGTGTTTTCTCTGCAGCGTGGAGAGTGGAGAGTGATCGAAGGGCACGCTGTGGAAGACAGGCGCCACAGTGGAAAGTAGTCCAGAGATGAGATGGTGGTGGGAGCGAAATGGAGAGAGGAGGGAAACTGAAGGTAGACTTCAGGAAAGACAGGATTGATGGGACTTGCTGATAGATTGGATAGGGTTAGGGTGGTCACTAAAGGAGAATCCTGGATGACCTAATGGCTGCTGGCTTGAGTAACAGGGTAGATGACAGCAGCTTTCACTGAGGTTGACTAGGAACAAATTTTGGGAGGAAAAAACAAGTTCCAAGTGGAAGTGTCTTGCCACCTTTTGAGTCACATCCCCCAGGGGGATGACTATGGTGCAATCCCTTCTTCTCCATTCTCCTCTTGGAATTTTGGGCACACATACGTATGTGCCTGGTGTGAGTTTTAAGCTACCTGGTCCAGGTCTCAAACTGCAGTCAACTACATGGGAGCCCAGTGACCTAACCATTACACCATCTGCTGGGCCCCGCCTTCTACATTTTTTAACAAGTTCCTAGTGATGCTGAGACTGCCAGTCCACTGATGATGAGAGAACAGCAGGATTATAACATACATGGTAACTACATTGTCTCATTTGGTCCCATCACCACTTTCAGACAAATTTAATCATCTCCATTTTACAGATGAAAACACTAAGACTTAGAGACTTATAAATGATATCTCAGCTAAACCAGTATCAGTCCATAGGAGGTAGGCCTAGACCTTTATAATTAGAAAATTTGTGAGACTATACTAGTTTTAAGACATATAATCCAATTATCACTGGAAAAATAGGCAAAAGAAAGACATTTAAACCAGAAGTAATCAATATATTTGCATGGGGATCAATTTGATTTAGGGAAAAAAAGACCAACGTTTCAGCATCATTATATTTAACAGTTATCTTTGTGTGTGTGTAATTTTATTCATTTTTAAATTGAGGTATAATTTACATACATTAAAGAACACAGATCTGAAGTGTTCAGTTCAGTTTTATTCATTTTTAATTGAGGTATAATTAACATACATTAAAATGCACAGATTCAAAATGTAACCACCATCCAAAATGAGACCGAGAACATTTCCATCATCCCAGAAAGTTCCATCATGTCCCTTTCCTTGATTTTTATCAGCAGCAATCAAGTTTGCCTGCTCTTGAACTTCCTGTTATTGAAGCCACATAATATATACTTTCGTGCCAGCTTCTTTCACTCAATATAACATTTTGAGGTTCAAAACCATTACCGTTTACCAAGAAATATCCTCTCTCTCATGGCACAATGTCCGTGCTTGTCCTTCACCATGATTCTGTGATTACCCGCAATGAGATATTTCTTACCGAAGGCTAAAATTACAGAAATTACACATCTGGCAACCACTAGGAATTTGACTCTAATAAAGTTTGGCCAGATTTTCTTGTCACCGTGAACACTGTTGAAGCAAATTTATTTTGTCTTTTGCTGACTGACCTTGGCTTACTTAATTGCAAATTGTGGATTTTCTTTTGACATTGAACACTCTAAAACAAGAAATTTTCTCAAATAAAAATGAACTCAATAGCAGCTGTTAATAGCTTTAAGACAATGAAGTATTATTCCATTTACTTGCATTAAAACATGCACTTTTTCTTAACCTATTTACTCTTGATAGCAGCCCTAGCAAAGGTCTAGCCTTTATTGAAACACACACACACACACACACACACACACACACACACACAAGCATGTGTGCTTAGTATCTATAGACAGTCATCTGATACCTCTCATTTATCCAAAACAACCTGGCCTCCACCCTGCCAGCATCCATGCCTGAGTCCATCACTTGGCTAGCAGGGTGTAGAAGGAAGTTTTGTTTGGGTACGAGTTTGTGTTCATTTCAGTTTTTATTTTTTGTCTCTCAAAAAAAGTGACAAAGTCATAGTTCTCTATTTACCACATATTTGTAGATACACTGCTGTAGGAATTAGTTCTGTAAAACTGAACATTTTAAGGGAGTATCAAATTTTAAATTGTCTCTCTATAATTACAGAGTTGTCAAAAAAAAGTCATGAGGTTACTTTTTCTACGCAAAAAAGAAAAAAAAATATGACTTTTCCAACAACCTAATAGAAAGCTTCCCCTAAGAAACACATGATGGCATGTCAAGAACAGGTATTCCTGTCCTGTTTGTCATTGTATTCCCAACACCTGGCCCAGGGCTAAGCACAGAATAGTGTTCAATAAATGTTTATTAAATACATGGCATTTTATAAACCTAAGATAAAGTAACATGGCATAGATGTTTAAGAGAAGTGATAGACTGTTTCATAGGATAATTGTATAAGAGGCAGGAAGACAACAAAAAAATATACTTTTAAGGGCTGGTACCATAGCTCCCTATTAAGGGAGTCAGATCTCACATGGCCACTGCAATTCGAATCCTAGCCCTGTGGCTTGAAAAACATGCCAGGTGCATGTGTATGCATGCCCCAAGTTCCAAGAGGATAGAGAAATTGAGGAAAAGAGATTGTAATGACCACATTGCATTGGAGGGCGCTTTCTCCCTATCTCCCTCCCCGGTCTTTCTCTGGAAAGTACTGAGAAATTACATATACTGTGGACATATAATTTCTAGTGTATGTATATATACATATATGTATATATGTGCATTACATACATATATGTATGTATATATGTATGTGTATTATGTGCGTATATATGTGTGTATATATGTATGTATGTGTGTATATATATATTTCCAATATAAATTTTTACAAAAAAGTTATAATTTTTATATTAGTTTCAAATTTAAACATAGCTCATGATTTTACTATAGATAATCACTAAGTGACAATCATATACAGATATATTCAGTACCATTTAATGCCATATGTATTCACTGATATATCAGAATCACACTTAAAAGTACCAGTTTTTTAATCAAGAAATGAATGGGACCAGCAGTTGGGGTAATGGCTATGTCTCTGGACTCCCATGTAGTCAATCGCGGTTGGAGTTCTGGATCTGGTGGCTTAAACTCACGCCGGGTGCATGTACATGCCTGCCCAAGATCCTGAGAGGAGAATGGAAGAGAAGGGATTGTGGTGTGGCCACCCCCCCCCCCCCCGGGGGGGTCTTTCTTTCTGTCTCTCTATCTCTCTTTGTCTTTCTGTAAGCTCACGTGCCCTATAGCAAAAACCTCTTTAAAAAAAAAAAAATCACCACCTTTCTCACCAATACTGGTTTTGAAGGCACAAACTGTCAAATATGTGAAGAAAAACTATTTTAGATGGTAAGTCATACTTTGCACTAAAAAAATAATATTTGTGTCTGCCATATTTTCATGAACTTTTCTTGATTTGGTCCTTTTTTCTTACAGAGCTGTTGTATCACCTGAAACAGGAAGCAGCGGAGAACAGAGGATAGAAGCACAACACCTGACTCCTGCTCCTCCAGCAAACGAGCCTCCCAGGCCCTTGCATTTGCTCTTCTCCCTCCTGGAATGCCCTGTCCCCAGCTTTTCAGAAGACAAGCTCATCTCACCCTGCATTTCTGCTGTAACATCCTCTTGAGAGAAGCCTTCGGTGACCTCCCAATGCAGTGGCTCCCACAGTGACCTCTACATCATCACCCTCACTCCTATGCAGCAGTCTCGTCTGTTACCTATTCACCTGTTAGTTGTCTGTTACCTGTTCACCTGTTAGTTGTCTGTTTCCTTCACTAGGATGGAAGCTCCCTGAGACCAGGGCCAAGTCTATCTTATTCACCGTGGCATCTGCAGCAACCAGCCCAGGGCCAGACCCTTGGTAAGCACTCAATAAATAACTGAAGAGGGATGAGTAAATGCATAAGCCACCACTACTATCTACAGTATACAACTTGAAGAACCCATAATAAGTCTATTTTTTTAAGCTTATTTATTTCTTCCATGAGAGAGAGAGGTGGGAAGGAAGAAACAGGCACTCCTAGCAGGCATACTGTGATCTACCCCCAGATTCAGCTAGTGTGCTCATGGATATGTGCAAGTACACTTCCAGTGTGTACAGGGAGACCTCAGAACATGAACTGGAGACCATTCTATGTGGCTTCAGCATTACAGGGCATTGTGTTACCACTGCACCACAGGGCTGGTCAGCATAAGGTTAATTCTAAACCCAGCCTTCCAAGGCTTAGTGAATGCAGGAGGCAAATCAATCACAACCTTTTGGGTTCAGTGGCTATTTCCTTGCATTCCTATGGTGACAGGACAATTCCACAGCAGAGAGCTGCTCAAATGACATGGATTTGTCTTATAGCAGAGAAATGAGGGTGAAAATCAAAGGGCTTCTCTGTCGTGTCCTGAGGGAGGAGTCTGGGGGATTCATGGAAGGTACTGAGCCTGCTAAGAGTCTGCAGGTGACTCATGAACATCTCAGAAACTGGCAAACCAGAAGACATGTTGACAAGAGGTTAAAATGAGGTGGTTATGGGACCAGCAGCTAGCGTAATGGCTATGTCACTGGACTCCCATGTAGTCGACCACGGTTCGCGTCCTGGACCTGGTGGCTTAAAGCTCACGCCGAGCGCGTGTGCGTGTGTGCCCAAGATCCTGAGAGGAGAACGGAGGAGAAAGGATTGCAGCACGGCCATCCCCCCGGGGGATGACTTCTAGCTTTCTGTCTCTCTGTCTCTCTCTGTCTCTCTCTGTCTGTCTGGCAAGTGCACGCGCCCTATAGCAAAAACCTCTCAAAAAAAAAAAAATGAGGTGGTTATGACAGCAATCTTTCACTCAAAGTGCTTTGAGCAGCTAAATCATTTTTAGCTTTTTGGGATTTTTTGTTTTGTTTTGTGGTGTGTTTTTTTTTGTTTTGTTTTGTTTTGTTCATTTGTTTCCCTTAAATCTAAACTTAATTCTCAGAGTAATTCATGTTCATGATATAAGAGTGGAAAAAAATATGCCCCAAAGCATTAAAATACCCAAAGAAGATCATTGTAACATGTCTAGGCAGTACAGACTTTGAATTAAATTACTTGGATTTTAATACCAGCGTGGCCACTTACTGCTTATGTGATTAGGAGATTTGCAAAGGCCACAAAGTCCTCCCATCACTACATGCACACTCTTTTGCAATATGATTACCCCACTCCCCCAAAGAAGAAATGGAATCTATTTTTTTATCCCTTAAATCAGGAATTGGCCCAATTTGACTTACTTTGACCAATGGGACATTAGCAGCATGATGTCAGCAGTGGCTTAAAAAGTGCTGGGGTTTTAGGTTTGCCTTTCTTGCCTCTGTACAATCATGTGAATGATGTGGGGGACTGTCTGGGAGAATAAGAGACCACAGGAAAAGAGCCCCAGCCGTGCTGTTGTCCCACAGAAGCTCAGAGATGTGAATGAGGCCATCCTGGGCCATCTAGACCTAGCCACACTATCCCAGTCCAAAAGAATTGCAGCCAACCCAACATATATTATGGGAAATAATTTATGTTATTGTCTTAAACCACTATGTTTTCTTAGCAGAAGTCAACTAATATAGTGGTTCTGGGAAAATTGTTTAATTTCTATAAACTTCTTTCCTAATTTGTAGAATAAAGATAACAATAGCACCTTTCTCTTCAATTTTGCTTCATATATTAAATGAAATAATGTGTGGAAAGCACTTAGCATCTGCCTGGCAAATAGTAATTATTAAATAAATTTTTATTTCATCCAAGATTTTTAAACAATGGAGAGACTGCTCTGTTATTGTTTTTTTTATTCTGTTCGGTTGACACATTTGTCATAACATAAAACAATTGCTTCATTGTTCATTATTTAGGTTTGTTAAGGTTTGTTATAAACTTTTCAGTTTGTGTCCCTACTCCCAATTCGTGTGTTAAAATCTAATTCCCATTTGATGGGTTTTGGGGGTGAGGCTTTGGAAGGTAATTAGGTCATGAGGTAAAAGCCTTCATGATGCAATTAGTGCCCTTACGAGAAGTGATCAGAGAGAGCTGGCTTGATCTCTTTACCTCCCAAGAGCAGCAGCGAGTAGGAGGCAGTCTACAACCCAGAAGAGAACCCTCACAAGAACCCAGCTGTGCTATACCCTGATCTTGGTTCCAGCCTCCAAAACGACAATGAACAAATTTCTGTCCATTATAAGCCACTCAATCTATGCAATTTGTTACACCAGCCAAGGCTAAGATGAAGTTGCCTTCAACTTTTTTTTAACTTGTAGCTCCATCAGAATCTCATCGAAGCACCCTTTCTATCACACTGAAAGATGGCTTTTCTAGAGCATCCTGGAACCTCTATAAAAGTGCTTCAGAGTGAAATTAAAAAGTCTCCCTGTGGAGTAAACCAAAAAATTCTGGATGGCCTAATATAAAAGCTTATTTTTAGCAATCAGGCTGAGGAAAGCAGGCATCCCCAGGGCCTGAAAGTGATGCTCTGGAAAGACTCATTCCATGTGGCACAGCAAAAGCATCCTTGTTTGCTCCATATGGCTTGCATGTCTTCCCAAACTAAGAAGCTTCTGCTAGTGATTTTCATGGCAACCCCAGAATGAGAATCTTTCCCAAATTGCTAGCAGAATCTCTGTGGACTGTTGGGAAGCTCCTCCCTGAGATGAAGTCTGTGTCATTCCCAAGCAGACCCTCTACCTGTAGCAGCTGTCAGAACATTTGCAGATCCTGTTGGCTAGTGGGGCAGAGGTTGAGAGACTGGAGCCAAAGGTGACGGCCACAGCATGCTTGGCATGCTAACTTCCCACAGTGATTCTAGTGACTCATGTTTTCAGAGGTCTTGATAGAAGACTAGTTCCTCTGGTGTAAGTTGCAGTCTCAGAGAATCCCAGAAAGTGCACTTCAGCTCCAAAGCCTCATAAAAGTGATTCCTGAGGTTTGAAGCAGCAGGGAAACAATCAGCTGTTGTCCAGAAAAGAATAAAAGGTGAAGATCCCCCATAAGGAAGGGAAAACTGTATGCTTCATGACAAAGACTGAAAGAGCTGGAGATTATTGCTGGTGTGTGTCTCTATCCTTGGTACTAAAGGTACAGAGATGATGATATAAAAACAAACATACCACGCAGTCATGAGTCAGCAAGTTAGTTCTTACCACTGTCTCTGTTAAACCATTTTAGCTTCTTCTTAGCAACTCGTTATGCATTCCAGCCATGTTATCTGCTTTGACCTACTTTCCTTACTTTGCAAGAAGGGAAAATCTCTGCAGGAACTAGACTCAATCAATATCCAAGTTCCAACCAATTATCAAGTGAGCCAAACCACAGTTTCAGCCTCCAATTTTTGCAATAGACCTTCAAGAAAAATATAGCCTCTTATTCGTTGGATTTATATCTTGTTGTCATTCTGTATAATTTGTAGAATTGTGTTGGTAAGTCCAGTACAATGAAAACAATGGCAGAGAATTAACTCAGCAACTGCTTTTTTTAGTTCTCTGTAGAAAAGAGCTCCTCCAAAATCTTGGCATGTTCTCCTTGGGACTAAATCCAATGACACAACTTTTGCTGCCAGTCACTGTGTACTTACATGGCACTTACTCAAGCAATAGAAACACATGCTGAATATTTGTCTTGATATATTTATTTTATTTGAAAATTATTCCATCTATTGTCAAAAGGTATCTGAGGCAGCTTACAAGAAATGTACAAGATAATGCAATCAAAATAGCGATGGAAAGGGAATATCAAAAACCACAATGAGAGAGTGAGAATATAAAGATCATAACTACATTGGCTAATAGAGGGGATAAGCAGTAACTTTCTCTCTGACAACATAGGAAATGTTGTGATGTATTGGAAAGATCAAGGGATTTTGATTCAGACAGACTGGGTTGGTATCCCAGAAACTTAATTTAATAAGGGAATTTAGGGAAGCTACCAATCCTTCCTGAGTTCGTGTTTTCTATATCAAGCTAGTAATACACACTTCATAGAATTGTGAGGAGTAAATAATAACACTTATGTAATAAAAATAAATACACAGATGGTAACTATGTGCCTGGCCCTATTCTGGGCACTGGGCATGTATTACTTCATAGACTTCTGAATAAGGATCCTATGAAGTAAGTTTTTCTACTATCCCAGTTTTACTAATTGGAAAACTGTGGCACAGAAAGGGTAGGCAAGATGCTTATATATGTATATAACATATATAATATATATATAACATATATACACTCTATATTATTTTTTGTCAGAGAGTGCATGAGTTTATCAGAGAGAGAAAGAGAGACAGAGAGAGAGAGGGAGAAGCACATCCCCAGTGGGGTATGGTCACACAATCCCTTCTCCTCCAGATTTCCCATAGTCAGTCATGTGGGATCCAGCTCCCTTAACCACTACGCCATGGAGCTGGCTGTAGAGTCCATATTCTCTCTCTCTCTTTTTTTTTTCCCCATTACATGGATATATCTTTTTTCTTTTATTTCTTTTCATTATTTTTACATTTTTCCACAGACATTTACTTCACATATCAAAAGCTTTTGCTCATACTCCATAATCAGTTAATAAACAACTTTCAAATTTTCAAAATACTGAATCTTAAAGATAATGTTCAAAATATTTCTTATAATTTTATATAATTTTGTTTGTGACTCTATAACAACAGACAGTAAGGTTTTAAATATTTTTAAGAAAATATTTACATGTCTACTACTCAAATGGTTGAGAAGCAAATGCCCAGCTCACAAGTCAGGCATACACCTTCTCAATTCAGCCCTTCCTACCAAGTATTCTGTGATATACCATCTGCTAGCAAAGATCAGTATCTTTTTCTTCCTTCAACATCTTTCTCAAGATAATCCTCTGGTGTGGTTGCTCTTTTGCAATCTCTAATGATTACAATGCTGGCCTGGAAAAGTCCAGGTTATTTTACGTTATAAATTTTTTCATATATCTTCTCTAATCCTCTCTGCCAGGCAGAACTATTTATGGTGCCAGGCCATCTTTCTAAGAGCTTCTGTTCACTTACTTGAGATCCACCTTAGTTCCATAGTTTCCTGGAAACTTCAGATATGACATTCCAGTCATAACTCTGTCCAATAATGAGTATTTCCAATTTCTGATTCAATGTAAGAAGCATTACTGGACTTATACAAATAACATTTCTGCAAAAAAATAAAAATACTCCCAAATATTTTCTAATTCTAGAGGGGTCAGGAAGGAAGAAAAGTTTATGTTTCCATTTAAAGAAACAAACAAGAAAAATATTTTAACAAATTGCTGAACCTATCAACCACTCAGAAGAAAGTTAAATGTTTAAATTGAGAAAACAAAGCATAGTAAGAAAAAAATCAGTAATGTTTTACTCAAAAGTCATAAAATTCTATTTCATTAGTTCAGTCCTCAATTTAAACTCTCTTCTGTAGAATATGCAGTGTTACTGTGGTTCAATCTTTCTGTTTAAATCCTAGAAGGTAACATTCAATGTTATTGTTGATATTTCTTGTCCCTACCATTAAATTGATCATTTTCTTGGTTGCCTTTTGTTTTCTTATTTCTTTGTGTGTCTTTAGTTTTCCTGGTAGAGCACTCCTTTCATAACTTCTTGAAGAGTGGGGTCTGCTATTGGCAAATTCTTTCAGGTCTTATTTATCTGAGAATGTTTTTATCCTTTCTTTCCATATGAAAGATAACCTTGCCAGGTATAATATTCTTGGTTGAAACTGTTTGGTTTTGTTTGTTTGTTTGTTTTTTGGAGAGGTTTTCGCTACAGGGCGCGTGCGCTCGCCAGACAGAGAGAGACATAGAGACAGAAAGCGAGAAATCACCCCCCAGGGGGGATGG